AAGGGGCCAACCCCGAAAAGGATACCCTGAGAAAAGGACCCCCCCCCCGCGAGGGCAGTTTGAGCGGAAACACACAAGCGCCCGCGGGTGTGTGTGTGTGTGTGTGTGTGTGTGTGTGTGTGTGGGTGGGTGGGTGGGTGGGTGGGTGGGTGGGTGGGTGGGCGGGCGGGTGGGTGAGTGGATGCGCGTGTGGGCGAGTGGATGCGCGTGTGGGCGGGCGGGCAGGTGGGCGTATGTTTTCTTATCAGGATAGTGCGTTTTTTGCAGGCTTTTTGAGGGAAACCAAAGGCAAGACTGGGGGGTTAAAAGCAAAGAAGGGGATGACGCGACTTTGTGAGGTCTTGGCTCAATGCAATCAGAACTCCGTGCTTTGCCCTTCGGTGCCACCTTTCTTGTGACAACAGGCAAGTTGCGCGACTTGCTGAACTTGGCACGTCCAAATTCAAGTCATGCAGGCATGATGCCGCACCGCCCTGTAGAGCGCAATGCGCCCATGCTGTTGGAGAACGCAATGGGCTTCCGGCTGGTTCAGACGATGCTGGTACGACAATTAGATTGATGCAGGCAGACTTGCCGATCAGTTTGGTGCCAGATCTGGGATGGACCAGCGAATCTCCATACACAGCAACGCTTTTCGGCCTGTGAGACGGGCAACTGCAGAGCATTTGCGGCAACAAATTGAAATAAGCAACCTTTGAGAGTTTCCCCCTGACGTTTGAAGCTTTGTTTGCTGGAGAGCTAAGCAAACGTACTGTTCTTTGCGGGCTCAAATGCATAGCTTCGCGCAACAGTACTTCTTACATGGGAGCAAGCAGCAATCAACGTGTGCCTGTGAGCTATAAGCATCCGACGCTGCTGCTCACATGAGACATATTTGCCATTGATCATGCAAAATGCAAAGGAACAACCAGCAGTGTCATGCAAAGTTCTGAAAGCACATTCCAGTCCGAGCTCAAGGCGGGTCAGACCGAAGGCATTTCATCCTTGGGATTTGTGCGGGCAGACTTAATCGCCTCAATGGCTTTTCGAGTCCCAGGGCCAGCAAAGGGAGGCATTCTGAAGTCCGTGAGTCAGAGATCGTGGGCTTGCCAAGTTCTAGTGCAGGGCCGCAGCTTGCGCGTGGCAAGAAAACATACAAAAGGAGCTGGCGGGGGGTGTTTCCTTTACCATTGTGGTTGGCCTGTGAAGAGACACCACAACAAATGCCCAACTTTTGGGATACAACCAGCTTGCTTTGCTCACCTTCGCTTTGTGGCCACGAAGCAAGTGCCGGTCGCGTTGGTCTCTCGGCATGCCCTCTCGGACGCCCGACAAGATTGAATCTTGGCACGTGACGTGCTACGACTTGGAAGGAGGCTTGATCTGTGACATGGGTCTGACTCTCCTTGTACGCTCCGGAAGTCGGGCTGTTCTGGGCTACTGGAGATTCCGGGTTCCAGAAAGCTCAAAGATGGCCCGACGCCGCATTTGGCGAATTTTGGCAAAGTCTCGAAGTTGAGTTGACAGCTTTCCGTGAACCGCCAGCATCTTTCCTTCGCTTTGGGGTTCTGTTGGCATCCCGGGATCCCAAGCTGGGGTGGTCTCGTGCGGTAAGACGACTCGAGTGACAGAGGGGTCGCTGATCTAGATCGCGTTTGTACAACCCTTTGACCAGTTCGGCGAGTTTGATTGCCACGAAACACACCCTATAGGGCCCCCCACGTCAATAGTCTTCCGCATATTTCTACCAACTGTTCTTGCAATTTTTGGGACTCGCAAGGCCGCAAACTGCCGCGGACCTCGAAAACTTCAGGACTGGCCTCGAAAACGTTGGGGTCCTGGCCCTTAGCGCGCCGAGCGCGGGCGATGGGCACTCAGTCCGGCCGGGTGCTGTGTGGCGGTTGAAAAGGGACGTGACGTTTTTCGCATGCCAAGTCTTGGTGCAAGATCTGCACTTGTTGCGCTTTTTCAGCAAGTGTCTTTCCAAGCGCGTAGCTTGGCAAATTGTGGGCTCCAGCGGGTTCCTGGCGAAGATCGCCCGCTGGCGTTCCGGCTGATTGAGCCATTGAGACTCTGGTTCGCTTTGGCTTTCTGGCCGCCGAGCGCACTGCGATGCCGGCCCGAGCGGAAATCCCGGCGCCTTAAAAGCCTGACGGCCTGATTCCCTGAGGACCCAGGAGCGTTGAAGCAGCGGTCCTCTTTTCGAATACCTTATTGGACAAATGCGGGTCGGGCTCGAAGCACCTGCCTCTTGGGCCCAGTGAACCCTGGTGTTAGACATCCCGTTGAAAGGAGGTTGGCTTGCGTTTGAGAGCAGATCCGTGCGGTTTGGTGAGAGAGCGGTTGCAACCCCAGGTTCTTCTCCGCGTCTTCGCGAATTGAGAAGTTGCAGCCCTGAGAATACGGGAAATGCTCGACATGGCCTGGTTTCGCTTTGCTTTCCTGTTGAAACCACCCCAAGCGCCAGCTTCAAAACTGCCACGGCCAACCAGCCTTGCTTTGAGCACATGGCTAGCTGCCAGCGCAGCTCAAGCCAGGCTCTGGCACCGCCCAGGTTTTGCTTTTGGGTCGCCGCCGATCTGTGGCATGGGAACGTGTTTGCGACATGCCGGTGAGCTTCGCACGCGGCGCAAGAGCGGCGAGCCTCAGGCAGTCTCCCTGCCATGGAGCCAGGGGTTTCTCATGGTGTAACCTGTGTGCGACCGGCCAAAAAAGATGAAATCCCCGCTCCTTGAGCGGCCTGTGGGTGGGGAACGAACTCCCTGCCACGCCACACTGAACCGAGCTTAGCCCTGGTCGCTCACTCGGAGCGATCCGGTGCTGACCTGACACTGCTCAGGTGTGATGCCTTGGGCCGAGCGAGTCCAGGAGCCCCCCGGCGACTCTGGCAACTGGTCGGAGGTGTTCCAAGAGTCAGCCGGCGTTTTCTGGGCGTCGAACGGGTGCCGGTGCCAGCCATGTTGAAGCCTTCAAACGCGCAGGTCCTCCGCCCGCGACGGGCCCTCCGATTCCATGGGCTTGCGACCGCCTTCCAGGAGATCGGCTGATGCGTGCGGAAGGGTGATGTGAACCCCTGAAAAGCGCGAAGCTGCGCGCATGCCGGCGGCCGGCCGTTTTGCCGTCTCTTTGTCTTGTGGGGCGGTCGAACAGAGAAATGGCAAAGACTGCATGGCCTGTGCAGCTGCTGTGAGACAGTTGGAACCCCGGTCTCCTTTGCTATAACCATGCATTGAACCCATGCAGATTGCAGAGCGCCCAAAGGAACATCTTTCAGCTTTCGTGAGCTCCCGAGCTTGCCTCACCGCTGAGCCCAAGAGGTCATATTGGCAGAGTGAGTGAGAGGTCCTGTGACGTGGGCGTGCGAGATCTTGGTGCAAGATCTGAAGCACCTGTTCGCGTAGCACGGAAAGGAGCCGCGTTGCGCTTGTTGGGCCGCAGCGGGAGCAAATTGGAACTTGCTGGCTGCAAATCATCATCAAGTGGCACGTGTTCTTCTGGCTTCAAGGCATGCCTACGGTTGAGCCAATGAGACTCTGCTGGCGCAGAAACCGCGACTGCCTCCGTCGAGGCTGACCCGCGCGTGGGCTTGCAACCTGCTGCGGCTACGGTGTCTGAGCTCCCGCAAAACGGGCCGCTCCCTGGGACTTCGTGCCCCGGCAGCGCGCTGATCAGGGGTCCGACTTCCGACTTGCCGCGGCTTGCGATCGGTTTCTGCGTCCACTGCGTTCACTGATGTGATCCAACGGATCCAAGCGTCATTCCAGCTCCGCAGCCTTCGTTTTTGGCGGATGCGCTTTGCTTGGGCCCTGTGTGCTGGACAGGACGCGCGCTGAGGAAAGGTCCAACGCAAAGAGGGCACACGGGCCACACCACTGTCCAACAGGCTCCAAGTGCCGGGGTACTCAAGGCATTCGCCATCGACGCAGCATAGGAATCATGTGCCCCGGAGTTCAGTGAGAATGTCGGCTCGTGGCCAGAGGGTTCAACACCACTTTGCACATGGCGATAGGGGGGTCGTAAGGGCACCCCGCATACAATCCGACCCTTCGCAATTTCTTGGCTGAAGGGCCGAACCGGACTGAGCGGCGCTCGAAACGTCCACGCCGAGGTGCTGATGCGATCTGCGAGCGCAGGGGTAGCTTCCGCCATCAGCCACGCCACTTGCACTTGCCCAACACGCTTACGCGACCGTACGCCACATGAATGTTGCAGTGCAATGATGGTGATTGGGTCTTTGTGGGGAGACTTTAGATCATTGGACACTCCCTCGGCCATGTGGCTTTGTTTGCTTGTCGGCTTAGTCCCAGTTCTTTGGCCTCACGCGCCATGCCCATGTTGCCCAGCCGGACCGTCCGGGCCAGGTTTTGCCGACAGACTGGTATGTGAGTTTGGGCCAGCCTTCCCAAGACCTCGTGCAGTCCCATTCTGAAACATACGCTGGCTCGACTTACTCAGTCACCGTGAGTCGTGTACAGGCGCTCCATTGCTTCAAGTGCCCGTTTGATATGTCTCACTTGTGGCCGCAAGAGATGTGAAAGTATGCACTCGTCCTGGTTGGCCTTTGCAGCGTGCTGCAAGTCTGATGGTGTTCGACCAGAGCCAGAGCCAGAGTAAGAGAGTAAGATTCTGCCACCATTTGGTTCCGTGGTTCCAGCTTCCGCGGCCTTGTTGAGAGGCCGAATCTCACGCAGGCTGGCCATGTGTAGTTGACTCTGCAGCATTCCCCGGTCCGGAGGCGCCGCAGGCGACCGCGGCGACGGGGGCCGGTTGGGTTGCACAGCTCCTTTTTCGGAGACGAAAAGGTGAGCCTCGCCATAAGGACTTTGCCAGACCAACAGGATACAGATCCCCGATCCCCCCCCCCCCCCCCCGCCCCGATTTTTTTTTGGGGAATGCTCGGTTGAATCTCAGAACTGCTGTGGTGCCACTCGGCTTGATTTTGAGCTTTCGAGTGCCTTCCTTGCCCGGCGGCTCCCCTTAAGCAGGGTTTTCGGGGGGACGAACCAAGGCGATGGAAAAAAATGGCAGCTGGCACCACCTGGGGCATTGGTGGTTGGATTGCGCAAGCAGACGGGATTTTTTTTTGTTTCAAAGACATTTACAAAGGCAGACTTGGCACCCTGGTTGACATTGGAGAAGCGTGTCTTCTTCTGATGGCCTGCCAGCTTTGCCCGTCGGCAGCCACAGGCGTGGTTTTGACGATGGGCTGCGACAACACAGGCGCAGAAGCTGGCTTGAACAGCCTGTTTACCACAAAGTGGCCTTTGCCTCGAATTTTGCAACGCGCAACTCATCATGCCATGTTGCATCAAGTGCACTTGCAAGTTTATCACACCGGTGAACATAACATTTGGGCGGACGACCTGAGCACTCGCCAGAACTTAAGGAAGCCACTCGTTGGAGAGTAAACCTAGCAGAAGTGTTTGCTCGTCGTGCCCTCGGCGAGCAAGAGTGAAAGAACCCGCTTGTGCTTTCCTTTCCTTGCGTGAACTCTCATGCGCTTGACGTTTGCCTGCCCTGTCTTCAAGGCGCTGGCCCGTTTGCTCTGAGGAAGGGGGTTTGGAGAAGCGCTGCCCGGTGCCGGAAACTAAAGGGGGGTTGATGATTGTGGCCCGCTCTTTTTCGCCTTGCTTTTAAACTGGCATCTTTTTCCGGCACCGGAGAAAAAGAGCGCGCTTCCGAATCCTTGTGAGTCATCGGAGCTTCTCTCTGCAATGTGAGTAAGATCCAAGCTCCGCCCTTCTCGCCGGGTTCCCTTGGTGAACCTCCGTGAACGCTTGGTGTTTTCACTTGTGTTTTTAGGGGGTTCCACTTAAGGTCGGCGTGTGGCCGCTTTGGATCAAGGGAACCCGATTTATTTGCAAGATCGACTGCTTTCATGATTGAATCGGCTTTTGCCCGCCCTCCACTACCCTTGAGCTACCCGAGCTCGGGGGGGTTGCTGATTGTGGCCCGGTCTTTCTTGCCTTGCTTTTAAACTGGCATCTTATTTCGGCGCTTCCGAATCCTGTGTGAGTCATCCCTCGGAGCCTCTCTCTGCAATGTGCAGTCTCCGTAAACATGGTGGGTGTTCTAAGTTCCTTTGTTTCGAAACGGCAATTCTTTGCGAAACGAAAATTACTTTCGCGAATCCATCGCGGCTCACGTCTAGTGTCTAGAGTCAAAGAATTGCCCGCAGCTCGAGCTGGAGCGAGTCAAAGAATTGCCCGCAGCTCGAGCTGGAGCGCAAGTTTTCCGTACCGAGTCACTTCACACGAAATACTTCCGCGGCTCCAGCTCAAAAGCTGCAACTTTCAGTAACAAGTTAGTACACTGTCTAGCGCGGCGCTCAGAAAGTACGCCTGGCAATCGAAGCCCGCACTTTCGCGCAAGCTTTCGCGGATCTTTCGCAAACAATCACCCGCGTTTCAAAGCGCAGGGCTCCTAACCAAGAGCACGCGCACACAGGCACACACTTGGAGCTCTAACCTGCCGAGCAGAGTGTCAAACTGTAGCCTCAGGCGGCAAAGAAAAGGAAAAAGGGTTTAATTCACCTACGGAAGGAAGGTTCTACAGAAAACACACACACAACCGCCAAATCTCACTACTTTCCAGGATAGAGTTTCAGCAACTCCATCACGAATCTTTCGCGGAGGTATCTCAACCAACACCGATGGTTGCCGAATGCTAGACCCCTTACAAGGACCTTAGAATGAATGACTCCCACACATAGATTGACAGATGGATAGATAGATAGCCTGGTTGGTTGGCTGGTTGGTTGCTTGCTTGCTTGGTTGGTTCATTGGTTGGTTGCAGCTAGCCATCAATAGTACCCTTGTGTCGGCTTTGAAATCTGCCTCGGCCCCCGGCGCTACCAGGGTAGCGCGGCGGGGGCAGCTCCGCCTTGCCCGGAAGGCCAAGAAACGCACGTATCCCGAGCTGGCAAAGCAACCGCTTGGTTGTGCTTGGGCTTGGGGAGGTGGAGCGCAGAAGAGTCGAGCGCCTCCGCAGCTCCTACTGCAGGCCTTGCCCAGCGGTAGTGTTTGCTCTTGGCGTCGGCCGCCCACACAGAGCATTTGCGGCCAGCTTGCTTGCGGTTCAATCGGCTTCCAACGTCGTATCCGCTGCCCGGAAGCATCCTTTAAGGGGGTCTCGGGGACGGATCTGGCGGCGGAAAAAGCGCTGCCGCCAAGATGGGCAAGAGCAGGTTTCCGGCCGCTTGTGCCTCACTGTCCAAGTCAACACCTGAGAGGGGCAGGGGGGAGTCGAGCCCGGGCAGGGGGGGGGGTTCTAAAAATTGTTTTCGCCTTACCTTGCTTACGCTAGTTTTAGGGACACAAGTTCAAAATCGAATAAAATACTACGCCTGTCACAAGTTCCAACTTATACACGTTCACGACATGCATCTAACACGGGACAGTGGCGCCAGAATGCGTTCGACATTTTAGGCTCTGTATCGCAGGGTCAACGCAAATGACTTTCGCTGACAGGGACTGTTGGCCCGGTGCGCCATCTGTGCGCCATCTTTCATTTGCATATGTCTTGCGTGCCCGAACATCTTGATGCCTGAGCTCTCCGGGAAGCCGGCTGGAAAGCGCTGAGCTGCAACACCCAGGAACTAAGCCAGAATCGAAACCCAAATTGAGTGCAAAAGGTGCGGATCTTCGACCTTTGATCTTTCTTTTTTTTGGGTAGACTCATTCGAGTCACCAGGTTTTGATCACACAACTGTTGGCTCACTAAGTGAGGCATTCTCCAGCTAGAAGTTTCATTTTTTTTCCGTTTTGCTCACGACTCAAGCGGTTTTGTCTGGCACCTGGGGTTGTCCAAAACAGTTTGGGAGTTCAGGCAAGCAAGAGGAACCCCTGTTCCATGCAGTAAATTGTTGGAACCCCAAGTTTGGTTCTGTGTATGCCCCCCCCATGCAGGCAATGAATAGGTTTACCTGGCATTTCGCAACCCAATGGTTTTGATGATGCCTCCATGACTTGCAACGGGGAAGACAGTCACAAACTTGCTGGTTCTCAAGGAATGAGGGCATGACCCCGAACTGAACCATCCCTTGTGGCGTCCTTTAAGGGGATCCCAATACCGAAACCCTGCCGATTCCCTGGGAAACCAGAAAGCAAATGCTCAACGCATTGGGCGGCTCCTGGGCGTTTTGGCTCAGGCCGCAGGTGGACATTATGTTAAATGATGCGATTGTGTTTTTTGCCTTGAGTTGCACAGGGTTTTCATGTATCCAACTCGATTGAGTTGGGTTGTGTAATACGCCCGCATTTGTTTATGCTGCGGTGCTTGTGGTTCTGTTGGCTTTTTTCGCCACGACACGCTCGATTGGAAAAGAAACTTGCCTTTTTGTTTCGGCTAGCTTCTCCAAGCAGGAGATCGAACATGGCGCGCCGTTGCCAGTGGTTGTTCTGGTTGTTTTCCCTTGCGCTTTACCTCGCGCTCCGGCAGGTTCGACAACTCACCTTTGACGTGCCGGCCCTTGATCGGCGCTCGCAGAGCCCAGCATTTGGCGGTTCTGCTCGGTTTGTGCAAGGGCCCCCGCAAGTCTCGCAACGAGGCATGATCACTGCCCGTCGGTTCAAGGTCACGATTCGAACGACGGAGGGCGACACCGCTTTTGATTGTCCTGAGGATGTACATATTTTGGAACAGGCGGAGGAGGAGGGACTCGACATGCCGAGCTTTTGCCGTTATGGCGATTGTGCTGCATGCATTGAAGTCGTTTCTGGAGATGTTGACCAAAGCGAGCAGATGTTCTTAAGCGAGGAAGAGATGGAGCAGGGCTACTGCATTACTTGCGTGGGATATCCAACGTCCGACGTGACCATTCAAGCCAATTGCAGAGACGATGTCATTGAAAGCAAGTGCTGCTTCACAACACCTCTCTGTGAGTGGTGTCCCTACCAAGGCATTGAAGGTGACCGGCCAAAGCGTCAGCAGCGAACGCTTGCCAGATGAGATGAAGCAGGAGTTTTCATGGACCTAGGCTGTGTGAGTCGCAATATTGCGCCATCACTTCTCGCGATGATGTGAATTGCCCGAACGTGGGTGTGTCCCAATTGGGTAAATAGGGTACTTTCCGATGATGATTGCTGTTTTATTGGACACGGGCACACCCATGTTCGCGTTGCCATCTTCAATCAAATTTGTAACTTCATTGTCGACAGGCTTCGCAGTCGCAAGGGACAAGGTTCTTGAAATGCTTGGCCTTGGACGTGATATCCGCGCTGCGGATGGAAGCAACCCCCCATGGGGGTTGAGCCTTGGGATGATTCACGAAAATGGGGCCTTGGGTTTCTCGGAGAAGGGCAGTTGGCGTGACCCTCAAATTGGGCTCTAATAAAGGGCTTCCTTTCGGATGCGAAAAACACCCAATGGCCCCGTTTTTATCTGAACCCGTTTGGGCTTCCGAACTAGCCTGAAAGCCGCAACAATGAAAATCATATTTTTTCAAGCTTCTTCCAGCACGTCCTGTCTTGGCTTCGCAGCAGGAAAACGGCACGTCCGCTGCAGCCGTGATGGGAAGTGCGTTGTTTGACAGTAGACAGTGTGCGGTGCATAGAGACTATTTTGCACTTGAGAGACAATGCCTTAACGTAAACTTTCGGGCAAATTTGTGGGACTGACATCAGAGGAACTTTCTAAAAGAGATCATTTTCTTACACAATCTACCAACAGCGGAACCGCCTCTGATCAGTTCCGTGCTCCGGGTTATTCCAAAGAGGTGGTTGCAAACATTGACCCTAATTAAGTGCGCACTGTACAAGGCCATAGGCCCCCCAAAAATACACTTGAGCAGGCAAGCAAGCAAGCAGCAAGCAAGCAAGAAAGTAAGCTTTCAAGCAAGCAAGCAAGAAAGCAAGCATTCAAGCAAGCAAGCAAGGAAGAAAGCAAGCAAGCAAGAAAGCAAGCATTCAAGCAAGCAAGCAAGCATTCAAGCAAGCAAGCAAGCAAATCATTCAATCAAGCAAGCAAGGAAGAAAGCAAGCAAGCAAGCAAGAAAGCAAGCAAGCACGCAAGCAAGCAAGCAAGCAAGCAAGGAAGCAAGCAAGCAAGCAAGCAAGAAAGCAAGCAAGCAAGCAAGCAAGGAAGAAAGCAATCATTCAAGCAAGGAAGAAAGCAATCATTTAAGCAAGCAAGCAAGGAAGAAAGCAATTATTGAAGCAAGCAAGCAAGGAAGAAAGCAATCATTCAAGCAAGCAAGAAAGCAAGCATTCAAGCAAGCAAGCAAGGAAGAAAAAGCAATCACTCAAGCAAGGAAGAAAGCAATCATTCAAGCAAGCAAGCACGCAAGCAAGCAAGGAAGAAAGCAATCATTCAAGCAAGCAAGCAAGGAAGAAAGCAAGCAAGCAAGCAAACAAACCAAGGGACACGACACGTGCGCGCAGTCTTCACCTTGCCCGAAACCTTCCGCCGGCTCGAGTTTGGGACTGGGTCTTCGAAGCCGCGAGTTCCTGCCGGGAGCCCCGGAAGGTTTAATCTGGTTTTCCAAAAGGCATTGGCTTCTCGTGTTGGTTGCTCCTAGTTGATTAACATCACTGGCAAGTTGGTTGGGAATCTGAATATCCTTCGGGTGTTCTTGCGTTTCAATCCGGATTGTACTTAAATCCGAAGTCGACACTACCCAATTAATCCCTCCCATTCAGTGTGGTTTCGCTGTTGCAGGGGATTGCCTTTGTATCACCAATGGTTTGACTAAATCCGCCGCCCCCACCGTCCCCACCCCCCCCTTCCATGTTTTACCCCGATGATACTTACCGGGCCGGGCGATGAATCGGTGTGTGTGTGTGTGTGGGTGTTCCGTTCCCAAAAGTTACAAGGAGACGGTATCGTAGTCAATCGTGGGCTTTGCAGCAGATTGGATTGGTTTGGATTGGCTTGGTTGGTCGGCGGGTTGCTTGGTTGGTTGCTTGGTTGCTGGCAGGTTGGTAGGTGGCTGGTTGCATGGTTTGTTTGTTTGATGGCTCCGGGTTGGATTCTGGGGGGGGGCTTTCCTATTAGGATGCTTGTTTTCAGGCAACTCACAGGAACCAGCTGGATGTGGAACAGAACGATGGTGCATGATTCAAAATTCCACAACTTTCTTTCCCTCTTTCAGGTTCTCTGTTTGCTTTTGCGGTGTCCCATTTCAAAGGAACGCCAAGTTACTTTCGAGTGGAACCTATATACACCTATTACTCATTTGCCCTGGTACTGTTTCGTGAGTCTCGGTCTACATCACAAATGGCCTAGACCTTGGGGGTTTCCACGGCATGGTGGAAACTGCCTCGAGTGTGAACAGCCTAACAGAACTTGCAAGGGAAGCTTTAGGGGGGTCACCTCGTAGCCGATGTTTGTTTGGTGTTTGTTTGGGACCCTCAGGCAGATTTGAGGGGACAGTTTGCCACAAATCATAAGGAATTCCCTCACTTGGCCATGAATCTGTCCAGGGTTCCCAACCAGAGTTTGCACCTTGAAGAGAAACCCTCACATCCCCCACCAATCTGCTCAAAATTGGAGGGCGAGCAGAGCCGGGCCGCGCCATGACTGAGCCGCGCACCAAGAAAAGAAAGGTGAAGATGGGAGCCGTGTGTCATTGTTGGGAGTTGGTATCCTTTTGGCTTTGAAATGCCCAGCGCTGAAGGATGCTCCTTGTCCATGTTGGTTGGGTGTTCCTTCAAAAATCGGATTCCTGGGCTGCGGCACGATCCATTGGCTTGCGAAAGGATTGGACTTTGCTGGGCTTCCCAAAAGGGGCCATCCTTTTTTCGGTCCCCTTGGGGTTCTAGGAAAGAACCAGGCCCAGAGTCAGGCAAGGCCCAGTTTTGACTCGGATGATCTCGGGTTAGCACGTCGAAAAGGAAGGTGGCCTCCCCCTCCTTAAAAATGTTGGGGGGTCCTCCTCCCATGTCGAGAACTCCCTTTTTACATCCCATCCCTCCCACATGTTCGAACCCTCCAAGGGACTGCACCCCATGAAAATCGACTCCCATGGCTTGAAGCCATGCGGACGTGTACATGTTCGCCGGGGTGATGTTCAATGGAAATCAACAGGAAAACCACCATTTTGGGTGGTCCCCGATTTTTATGTCCACCAAAGAAGCGTCTCACATGTGTTTTTCGGCCCATATTTCCAGGTCTCTTATGATACCTGGGCCTGCGAATGGGGGGGGTTCTCAGAATATGGAACCCCATTCTTGGATGGTTTAGGACAAAAGGAAAACCATCTGGAGGAATTGGTCCCCAAGGTCGAGAAGCACCCTGATTCAGGAACCCTTAATTGGTGGTTTGGATTGGTGGGGGATTAGAACGGCTCCCATTCGGCTCCGAACCGATCCGAGTGCCAGCCCTTCGCGCATCGCGAGGTCCACCGCGCGCTTGGTGGTGAAGAACTCCTTCCTGGAGCCCGGACCACCCAGAAAACCAATGGTACCATTTTGGTTGGTAGGTGAATTCACCACCCGTTTTAGTCTATCTTAGTGGGGATTGGGATGTTCACCGGGGGTACGGGATTTTGACCCATGGCCATTTGAGCCGCCATGGCTTGAAAAGGACGAATTCGTGGGCCAGCCACTTTCAATCAAGGGAAGGGAACCATGAGGCAAACAAGGTTTGGGTGAGACTTTGTCATCTGTCATGGGGTTGCCACTTTCCGCAAAGGGAAGGGAACCAAGCAGAAGTTTGGTGAAACTTGGTCATTTATGGTCCAGGAAAGTCGGGACATGAAGGGCTCGCGAACCCTGAGTTACCAAGGTATGTTTCCAAGTGGCTCATTTGGAGGTTTCTTGTGTTGTGTACAGGTTGCCTTGCGTCCGAAACGTGGGGGCAGGAATCTGTATATTTCTCTTTGATCGTCACCCTAGCAAGGGAAGCTCGCCTAAAAGATGATGTTTGAAACCACCCAAAAGGGAAGTCTCCATTTAGGTACCCCGTGGAAAAAGGTGGTAGATTGCACCAAATGTTGCGCGTTGTTCCAACAAACTGGAAAATGGAAACATTAGAAACACTGGTCCACCCTGGATCCAACAAACACACACATTCTCGGACACGGAATGGGCTAGGCATTATTATGGTACATGAACACTCGTCGCAGAAAAGCTTTTGCTGCACCTGGGCGGGGGGAGACTTTGCGGAAACCGCCGCAAACTTCCGCTCAGCGCCCAGGTTGGTGGAAGAGTGCCAACGGGTGTCCTGCCGAGCGACCCTGCGCACGGTTTAGCGAAGCCGGTTGAGAGGTTCGTCGCTAAGAAACGAGATCCAGGAGCATTTCCAGGAAGGCCAACTCCCGCCCTCTTTCTTGGTTTTTGGACCACTTCCTGGGACATTTCCTGGAAAAGGCTTGTTTTTGGGGCGGGCGGCCACTGATGGATGTCTCCAACATGGGTTATATAGGCAGTTAGACCTCAAAAACTTGCGAGCTTTCTAAAAGCAGGAGCACACCGCAAGCCAAGGGCGGTCCGATTCTCAGTTTGGGGAACGGTTCCATTCGCGGATCTGATCAAGCGGAGATGGCGTGGCAACTTTTGTTTTGACAAATGCTTGAGAAACTGACATGGGGTTTTTCTCACCAAGGTTTGCTGACACTTGTTGAATGGTAGCAAGCTAAACACAGGTGGCTTCGTCATGTTTTCCATGGGTGGCCATGTAAAGCAAGGCGAGCAATCCGTGGGGTTCGGACCTCCAAGCCTGTTCCTCTTTTTTGACTGCCTTTGAATTCCATGGGTTTCCCTTCAACCACCCATTCAAAATGAACATTTTGGGTTTTCCCTCCGACATTGGAACGGGGATGCTTTCCTTGTCAGGTTTCCCTTTCAAATCCGTTCAAAGCGAGTCCTCCATTTTCGGACCCACCTGCATGCGTTCTCCTGGCAGGTGCAAGGTGGTACGCGCAGCGAGTCCGATCTTCCAGACCTGCGCGTGCGGATCTCAATGTCGCTGGCAAAGCTAGCTTACCTGAGCCAATCAAAGCCCAGGTAAACGAAGGTAGGGGATTGTCCCCAACCCTAGAATGGGTGCAGCCGCCCTCTAAAATTACATGATGTTGAGCCACGGACACTTGAGTACCTGCTTTCGAATATGACTTACTTGGGGACGAGCAACAACCAACGAAGGTCCTTAGCTGGGGGGCGGGGCCCCTTTCTTCCAGCTTCGGAATTGTAGTATTTTGGGTAGTCTGGCCACATATCCATAGTCTACCGTTGGTTTGGGGAGACGAGAGGACGTTCCCCAAAACCCAGGGGTGGCCACACGATTTTCCCACTGCTGTGAGCGGGCTAGCCATGGGTTTGAAACCAAAGCTCAATGGGTTTGGAACCAAAGCTGAAATAGGACATTGCCTTCTTGTCGTTTCACCATCCACTGCGAATTCCTGATTTTGTGATCCAGGTCTGGTTGGATGTTGGATGCATCTTGATTTTTGGATACGCTCGCAACGGGACAGCGATCAAACACCGATCAACGCGTCCGAGGTCAGCCAAGAGCTGAACGGGCCGAGCTGGCTGCTTTCCTTGGCCTTACGACATGCTGTGGTTGTCAAAACCAATGGCAACATTTTGGGGTAGGTGAATTTACAACCCATTTTAGTCTAATTTATTGGGGATTGGGATGTTCACTGGGGGTATGGGATTTTGACCCATGGCCATGTTTTTTTTGGGGGGGGCCTTCTCTCCGAATGAATCATGTACCAGTCATGTTGTCAGTTACTCATGTATCAATGCCCATTTCCCTCCAGAGACCGCTGCAGAAAAAGAGAAAGTCATGCAGATGCAGATCAGGATTTGCTAGACCCGCCACTCTTTGGATGGTTTTCACTACCCCAAACCAGTACCCCTTGGGAAAATCGATCGTTCATGCGCCGCTTTTTGATGGTGACATAGTGGATGCATCGATTGGAATGAGCTTTTCATCGACGGAAGACTTTTGCTGCCCGCTGTTGTGCTAAAATATCCCCCCCCCCCAAAAAAAAAAAACAAAAAAACATAACAAAGAAGGCAACCAGTTTGGTTTCCTGTTGGTGCCCTCTAAACCAACCCCCAAAAAGGCACCCCGAAAAAAATTGAACAAACACCAAGAGCCGCGTTTGTCATGCATGGCACGCCTCTTGCTTCGTCGAGGTTCGAATGGAGTTTCCAGTAGTTTCTGGCCCGTTTGGGAGGGACCTGGTTGCGAACTCGCGATCAACTCCCCAGAAAGGCACGGGACTTGCTCATTTTCAAATGGCTGTGGCTCAAAAAGCCGGTACCCAAAGTGGAAACATGGACCAAAACCTGCGTAACCCGCGTAACCCCTCCTGGTTCAAATAAGTCACAATCAAAACCCGGGTAAGTGAAGGTTAGTAAGGAACAGTCCCAACTGTAAATAGTTGTGGCCGCCTTCTTGATTCTTTACATGGTTCTGGGTCGACCATACCAGGTTTTGATTGTCACTCACGTTGACCATGGCTCATACGTGGTGTCTATGTCATGCTTCAGAAGCTTTGCCCGCAGAGTCGTAGAACCGAGGCGCAGTGCCTCTTGCTCAGATGCTTTGAGGCTGACTTGCCTGGGCTTCAAAGATCTGTTGAATAGGTCCCTTGTAGTTGCATGCTTGCTTCTCAAAAACGACTTTTGGGGTGGGAAACCCCTTTGAACCACCATGGGCCCAGGGCCTTGCCAAAGAATACCGAATGCCAGGCTCACAGATGACGACACTGACATCGAAAGTTGCCATGCGCCCAGTTGAACATAGCTTTGCTCCGAGGAAAGGCCTCTGACGCATTGCTTTGAAGCAGCCCACATGACATGAGGTTCGGTCGAAATACTTCTTTGGCCTACGTGATGAGACTACGATGAGTGCCTAGTGTGTGAGACCTGAATTGTGGGAATGACAGCGTTTGGCCTGCGGTACAAAGCCGCCAAACAAGAGCTCAGTACATGCGCAAAAGTGGTTATCATTCATCGTACGGTTCATGCCCAGCATATTGCGAGTAGGAGGGAATTTAGTACTCTTTTAGTATCCTACAGGAGTGGATGCGCAAGAGCCGCATCTGAACCGTTTTCTAGAGGGACCCCCCCCCCACGCACTTGACCTCAATGTACTAGGGTTCTGTGGTGGGATGCGGTTGTCCTTGTTGCATGATATGGCTCTCCCTACGTCCTTACGAGGAGATTTGCCTGGATTTGCACGGCTTGCAAAAGGCTGACGTTGCTTGAATTACGTTGAGGCCTACATGAAATGGGTGTTTTTCTCAAAATAGGGGACCCTTTGTGGATGGTTTCTAAAGGGAAACCAAAAGGAAGGGAGGGCTGCCTGATGTTGAGAAATACGCTGCATACACCTTGCCCGATGCAAGCCTTCGCTGGGTGTTCTTTGGTGCTCGAGGCGCCGACTCCCCGGATTACTTCCTCGAGGAGCGAGCCGGGTTTTGGCGGGGTCTACGTTGGAGTTTCGCCTCGAAAACGGGATAGCCTCCCGGCTATTGACGTGGAACCTGACGTTCGATTCGGGGGTCCTGGAAGACGATTTTCCTTTTGAAGTGAATTTCTGTCAGGTTCTATGCTAATTGGCGGGAGGGATGAGCCAAAAGATGGGACCCTGACAAAGAACAAGGAAATGCAAGGAACCCATATCTTTCAGCAAAATGCAGGATTTAGAAATTGTTCATATTGGCAGTTTGTAAATGATGGTGATGTGCTGACAGCAACGTTGAATACGCGACTGTCAGACATGGAGCCTTTGCCAAGGTGGAAAGAAAGAAGCGTTTGCGAAGTATGGTAATTTGCCCAGAGGGACTGTCATCAATCGCTTGAACAGGTGGTTTCTGACAAACAATTGCAAGGGTTGCTGAGGGATTCCCCGACCATGCCAAACTTCGGCCCTTTCAAGTTGCGCCTGTGATATGGGGACGTGTCCAAGCTAGGGATATGTTTTGCGATGAGTTAAAAGAGAGACCTAAGGAGAACCAGTCATTTGGAGGGATTTTGGAGCACAGCTCGGGAAGTGTGACACTGGGACCGCTCCTCTTGGGATGGTTGGGTTCATGTGCCTTTGGCTGATGTTTACAGGAAGGCAAGCCACTTCTCCTTTGAGCCCGCGAATGCCTGCGTCAGTTAGTTGGTGTAATTCATGTCTTTTGCTGTGCTTTGCCCCACGCTAAATGTGGCGGCCTTGGCGCGCTGCCGCTTGCTGCAGTTCGGCGACGGTGTGGAGCAACGGAGTGTCAAATCCCCGGCGCAGCATGTGGCCATGTGGAAAATGAGCCACGGCAAGCGGGGGTTTCTTTTGGACTTGGGAAAAGACTGACCGACAGAGGTAGAACCAAACGCACACACAGCCACAGACACACAGACAACCACACACGCACACATACATCAAGCAGTCCAAGCGCCGAGCTGATAGATACATGTTTAAACAGACATATTTGTGTATATATATATATATGATAGGCATATTTACGCATATCTTGTCATACATAAGTGCTATTTCCCAAAGCCATGGCCCAGGGCTACCCACTTGGCCTCCCATACCCTGTATCTGGGGACCCCCCAATACTCCGGCAGATTTACGTGGAACCTGCAAAGCCACTCCTTTCGAGAGGAATCTCCTAGGGGAACTTGCTTTTTGGGTTGAATGTCCACTTGCAGGGAAGATATCGTAAAGTCGTGAGAGGAGTCTTGAGGAACATCTCTTACTTTTTTGGCGCGTCGTGCCATGTGTCGGTTTCTTGCTGCTCTGCTCCAGGATTCTGACACAGAGGTCAGCTCCGAGGCACCCGGTTTTGTGATTCCATGCTGCATTTTTTGACTGGCAAGCAGGTGAACCAGCCACAAACCAGTAGACTGTGGAGTTTTGAGCCAGCCACAAACCATGGCAACACGTGCTTTTTCCAATAAACTGCATGCCAAGGTCATTCCCAGCTGGATTTGTTCCAGGGAAATACCGGACACACAGCCACATCTCCTTTCGCCTTCCAGAAGAGAGTGTCTGCACTTGCATGCCTGGAGGGTGCTGGTTTTCAAAAACCGCTAGTCCACTTTTCCACTAAGAGTTAGGAACCCCTTCGAACGATAGGAACCCCTTCGAACGATAGGAACCCCTTCGAACGATTTGTGCCCATTTCAGCAGTCTCCCGACGGCACAGCCGGCACCTGCACAGCGCCGCCTGAATCAGGGACTCTCGAAGAGGAGGAGCTGGAGCGACCTCCAGGAGAGGTTGGTGGGGATGGTTCGGTGCAGTTGGTGCAGTTGGTCAAGGGCCATGCCCCGGGGGACGGGGGAGGGGGATTTCATTGAGCCCAAGGAGCTCTTGTTGGAATCCGTGGGCAACTCGAGTCTATTGACATCAGGGTTCCGGGGGGCCTTATTGGTTCCTCGATTTGGGTGCCCCTTGCTGATTTGGGCGTCCCCCAAAAATGGCTTCTTGCTTGCGGGTCCCCTATTTCAGGTTGGCGAGTTAAGAATCTCTTGCCCAGAGTTCGCCATTGTACTTTCGTTCTTTTTTTGACAAACATGTATTCGCACCATTGCCTGACTTGCGATTGCTCCCCCAATGATAAACTGTGGGTTAATGCATCAAATTGGTCGACAATTTTTGCTCGCAAGCACTTGATGCTGGATGCTGGCATCCTGCGTGAAGAGCTTGGATGCTTGTGGAGTCAACCAGTTATTTCCCCCCGTACTACTCTTCTACGCTGCCACAACATGCGCTTTGTTCGCGTAGGACGAGGAAGAAGCCAGGCGCAAATGCCGTGTCGTGAAAGCGGCCGATGGTCATGGGGTATTCGGTTCTTCCCTGTCGGGCAAGCCCGCAGTTCATGCTCGATTCAACAATAGGATTGGGGTTCATGTGTGAGGTTCGTTAGAGTTAGTACATTCTGCCTATGTTATGACGAGCTCAACGAGCTCACCATGCTGAAGGTCCTTTACTTGGATCCGTTATTTCAGCTTTTGGACATATAGTAAAACTTGCAGATGCATTGTGAACAAACTGTTCGGGTATTCCGACTGGTCCTGGAAAACCTTTCGCAAGCCTCTGTCGGCTTTCCAGAGTGCCCAGAGCTGTGAGGTCTGAGTTGGTGCAACCTCGACATGGCTCAAGCATACTTGTTTTCTGCCTCTGGTTTATTATTGAGGCTTAATGTTGACCCCGGATGAACAAACCCCTGTTTTTATTAATATGGGGGTGTCCCTGGTTTTAGTGGGGATTTATCACTTTTAGAGGGGAACACCCCCATATTAATAAACAGGGGTTCATTAACCCGGGGTCAACATTACTACGAGACCTGCAGGGAGTTTTTGTTTGGATCACGTTGAGAGACCCGTACCATGAGGCTGTGGGCGCACCTCACAGTGGGTTCCATGTTGTCTCCCTCATTGAGCAAGCTTGGGCCAGCCTCTTGCTTGTTGCAGTGGTTTGCTGCGTGGCTATTTGGTAACGGATCTTTGGACTTTAGCTTTTTGGTTGAGACAGGAAACGGATTTCAACATTCCGAATTGGAGCCACAACAAGTTGAACACTTAGTGTAGAGGGCTCGCTTCAGCAACCAAGTTTAAATATCATATTTCAACAACCTCCTTTTGGTGCCCTTCACTGCCCAGCTTTGCCCAGCCCTTTGTCCCTAGCTCCACTTGGGAGCTTGAGTGCAAGCTCTTGACAGGAAGTCTTTCAGCGACACAGGCAGCGAGGCTGGGGGCCGCGGCTTTTTGCTGCTTTTTGCTGCTTTTTGCTGCTTTTTGGGCCTTTTTGGGCCTTTTGGGCTCTGTTCTTTTGGTTTCACAGGATTTGTGTTTTATGAAGCTTTTAGTTGCCTTTTGGGTTGAGGCACAAGTGCGCTTGACGGGGATGCCGAAAATCAAAACGACACAGCACCAGCGTACTAGCAGCCACCTTCCTAAAACTTGAATGTAGGTTCATCACTTTGGCTGCTTGTCGCTTCGGGGAGGTGACTTTTGACAACCTCCCACCAATAAACATGCAACCCGACAGGGTGATGGAAGACCATTTTCCTTCTAAAGGACCCCCCGAACGTCAGGTTCCATGTTCATTGGAGGGTAATGGTAAAATGGCCGGGCCAGTACCTCCCGAGGCTTTCACCGGGAGGTTCAAGTTGCCAGTGTTTGGAAATGGGAACGTGGGTTTGCAATTCAAAATGGGGGAACGCCCTTTCACCGCATGGTGGACACTTAGAGTTTGGTTTGTCGGGTTAGGTTTTCAGGGTCTGCACAAATCGACTCCGTGCAGGTGGCACGAACCCCTCCCCCTCAAAGCGGTGTCGTGGTCTTCCTTCTGGAACAAGCAGGTGGCCTTCTGAACCCGCAAAATGGTGGTCCCTTTGGTTTCAGGGTTTCCCAACAACCAACAAACACCAAGAAGGGAGCCTTCAACAAAAAGACGGCGTGCCGTTTCAGCGGTAGAAGGGAAGCCACCCATTTCAGAGGCCCCAGGTCCCGAGGACGAATGGTCAAAATCAGTCGGACCACCATGAGAGAGTTCGTGGTTCTACGATCAAATAGGTGAGACCCGGTGAAAAGCGGGTGGGGTGCATGGGAAGGTCAACATTCGTGTAGCATCTGAGGTTCCAGTAAACTACTGCATTTGGAAGGGACATGACTCACTGCACTTCCCCACCAAAGATCAGGGACCCCAATGTTCCTATGTCCTCTTGGGGAAAGAAGTCATTTTGACCCTGTCTTTTTGGACAAAGGGAGAGCACCAACTCTTGGCAGTTCGCATCACCATGAAGGTTTTGGGTAGACTCAATTGATTTTCAATCTGGATACAGCTCCAAAGCTGGCACATGCCTCGTCCAAAGATCATGTTCATCTGAGACTGGTCCAACTTGAGTTGGGTATGTGAGTCGAAATATATAGGGGGGGCCAAGCAAATGGTGGATTTCCTTTTGGTTTCCCAGCAAACCAAACAAAAACGGGTACCCTTAAACGCACATACTGGTACATAAGGAGGGGTGGTTCTGACATTTCGGCTGTTTTCGGTGACAGGGCTCCTTGTGTTCGCCGGCCACAGGCAGCTGACAGCTGCTCGTGGGAAGGAGGCAAAACACAGGCCCGCAGATAAGGGGAACAGGGCTTTAGGTTTTCTGGTCTTTTAGCTTGGGTCGGCGAAGGTATACAACACAAATATCCGCTTTCAGTTATTCTTGAACAGCCAATGGAGCTTTGCGGCGGAAGACGCGGGACGTGTGCCAGGATTATGGCAGACCCAGCCGTGCCGGGGGTTTTCTTTGTGGAGCTCCCGAAATAGGAAATAACCAAAAGGCAAGCCAACACATCGCCAAACAATGTGAAAGGGTTTATGTTTTGACCCCAACTATTGTGAGCAATAGTCAGCCATGCTGCTTTCCAAACTCAGAAGGTGGGGGTATCTCAGTCAAGTCTTGTGTCACTTAGGAGCCAAGATGAAGGGTAAGGACCCTTTTTGGCTGCTTTCAACCGGAGATCAACAGGACATCGCCCTGAAAAAAATGACTGCCAAAGCCGGAGCTTTCCTGTCTGTGAATTGATTTTGCGAGAGAGATGGCCGAGGGGTCCCCATACACGGGCTTGTCTTTCGTTGGGGACCCACCAAAATTGGCGGTTTTCCTTTTGACTTGTCTTTAAACCCGCCGCAAAAAGGGTACCCACAAAAAAAAGACACCCATATTATAGCTAAGTTGAACTAGCCGCAAAGCTGAACTTATTACTCTAAGTAGTATTATTACTCTTTGCGGCTGGTTCAACTTGGGCACTTTTCTCTTGGGTTCACATCTTGGGCCAAGGGGCAAGGAACTGGCCGCCCGCGCTCCTGCGCCGGATTGCAGCGAGCCACGGTTCCTGGGCCCACAGGAAGCGATACGTGAATCTGCCCATTGCTCAGATGGCTGTGGGTCAAAAATCGGTGCCCAAAATGGAAGCCTGGTGAATGGAGCCAAGGACTAAACCTGTGGTTTTTTGGTGATTTGATTTTGACCCGTACCCAGATGAGGTTGTGAAAGGGTTGTCCCCTTCATGGAAACTCACTCCAAAGCACTAGGGATGGCAACAGCCGCCAAGCAAGAGTAAGGTTTGCACTGGGACCATTCTCCAATGGACCGACCCGTACTGGGTGTCTATCTGAGCTCAGGTGAGGTTCAGTCAAAGTATGCAGTAGTCGTTGCTCCATTAAGAGCAAACCTGGGGAGCTCTGAGTTTCCCACAAAAACCAGGGAGGCTCACAGATATTTCCGTCAGGGAACGACCTCTCCCCAAACGGGATCCGCATACTTCTGGCTCTCTCCAGGGGGACGTTCCTGTGACGCCACTTTCTGCCTGTGTGGGGGACCGAGATGAGATCACGCTGTGAGGAAGTTGCACGAAGACGGGTACCCACCGCCCACCCTCTTTCCATATGGAAGCACCAGGGGCTACCTTCCGCGACAAGCTTTGTGTAATAGCAACCAGACTGATTCATTCTCACGATTTGGCGCTGCTATGATTGTTTAAATGAGGGCAATTCTTGGGTGCGGCTCGATTGTGGCGTTCTAAGCAACGGGGATAGAGGTACCCCATTTTTCCTTTAGCATCCCTTTGCCCATTCCATTGGTGGGTGGGTGCTCACAGTTTGTGCAGACATCGGTCTCAAAATAGCCAGCCCCAAAAAAGGGCACCCTCAAAGAAAGCACACCCATATTCAGGCTCTCACCCAAAGCATGAGCAGGTGCTGCAAGTGGAGCATTCGCACAGCGAACGCAAGCTTTGCGAGGAGTTCTTCTGCTTGGCTTCAAGGGTGTGGTGAGTTTGTATGTCCACTTGTGTCAGGTTCTTGGCCGCACCCGGCCTTGTCACATGTTCCTTGGTGTATGTATATCTTCATTTGTCCAATGTATATGTATATATGTTTACATGTATACTGCATACTCATATATTATACTCATATATTATATATAAGTAAGATCTAGGCGTCCAATGTTTCAGCTCCACGAGCAAAGCACGCCGTTGCAAGGGGCTGAGAGCCCCCAAGCTCCCAGCGAGCCATGGCCCTCCGCGCGATGCTGCTGGGCATGTGGAAGTGCAGGCGATGGCCTTCAGGGGCTCAAAGAGGTCGAGCCAAAGAGTTTGTTCTTACTTTCCAGGGGCTAAAGTCAGAAACTGGGAGGTTGTAGCCTACCACTTGGAGAGTGACTTTGATGGTAGCAGCATGGGGACCAGTTTTGTGCGGTTTGTTTCTTCTCTTATGTGCAACTTTTCGGTTAGGAAGAGATAGAGATGTAGCAAGATGAGGAGAAGCTGGGAAATAGTTGATTCAAGGAGATTAACAGATGGAATTGCCATTGAAACCCCAAGAACGATGCAAGAGCTCTTACGCTTTCCGCTCGTCAAGGGTCCCCCTTCTCTGTGTATGACCTGGGTGGTTTCAACTGGAGGGCTCCTCAACAGCGGGCCGTGCAGTTTTTGGGGTGGATCGCGCAGGCCGGTGCTCTGCGAAGGCTGCGCTGTCGGGTATGGGTTGTTCTCCAGGGGAGGGATGACTCGGGGCCTGCGACCTGAGGCGTCTGTTTCTTCTTGGAGGCTGTGATGCGAACCCCTTCTTCTTCAGCCAAAGGGGAGAGCAAGCCAGAACACCATCAAACCACACTCGTCCCAAGGTTGCAAGGAGGGGAATACCTTTTTCCTGCCGGTGTAGCCAGGAACTTCATGCTTCTCCCCTGAAGATTGATATTTTTTTGACACACAACACATGGCATAGCTCACCTTCCTAGGCCTGCATGGCCTTGCCAACTTCTGGCTGACCTTGCCCCTGGTAAACTAACTCCATTACAATGGCAACACTCCTTCTTCCCGGTTTAACACAGGTCAAGGTGTGAGTAAAATGCTCTCTGGACCCAGCCTGATCCCCTTTGCCTTGCAACCCTGTACAAGCAAGACTCAAACCGCTCTCAATGGCTGCTATGGCATGATGGGGCTTCAACTGGCAGTTGATACAGCCAAGAGTCTTAGGAATGACATAGGAATGACGAAGAGACGAAAGGATGAGGATAATGGCCCTTTCTCTCCATTCGTTCTTTCATCTCTCACTTCGTTCCTGGGATTTACAGGAGTTAGAAAGGAAAAGAAGTGATAGAGATAGAAGGAAAAGAATGGCGAGACAGGGATTAATAGCCGGGAAAGATATAGCCCAGTCCTCACATACAAATCCTTTAATTGGGACTGGGGACATCTCTCTCCTGTCTGTGTTTGATGGATTCATATCTTCATTCCAGCAAACACACAGGAAATAGAGAGATGACCATGGGAAAGCCAAGCAAATTAAAGGCTTTCCACATCTCACTTCCTTTCCCATCTTTTGGTTTGGTTATTGATGGGAAAGATGGGTCCCTTCGCTCTAGTCACCGTGTCACCCAATATCCCAAACAGAGAGGTGACACGTGGGAAGGGACATTATGTGAGAGCCCTTTCTTTCTTCTCTGTTGGCTCTCACGTCCCTTTCAATTCCCGACTTGTTGAGCTTCCAATCCAGTCAACAAGGCCAGGATGAATATTCTGAGCAGCATAGTTGCCTGCAAGTTCAGTGCAAAGCTTATCTGCTGCCTCATTTGCCTGATCTTCAGCTCAAAATAATTCCTGATCCTCAGCCTGATCCTCAGCTCAAAGGTTGCTTCCTGATATGATCTTTGAGAAATGATGCAATTGGCATGGGTCCTCTCACAGGCCCAATGCGCAGGTCCTCACTAAGGTTTAGTCGTACAGTGCGGCAGGATGCCGCTGACATTTGGGCTCAACGCCCAGGCCTTACGCCAAGCTGGCTTTTGCGGAAATAGAAGGCAGCCATCCCGTGCGGTTCCTCGCTTTGGTCCCTCACGGCCCTGCTTTCATAGTGGTAGCGGAGCCCCTGGTTGGGGATTCGTGGCACGCGCCAGGACCTTTGAGCTCGCCAAGCCCTACGCTGTGATCGCCACTCCTGTCCTTCTACTCAGGCTCGCCTGAGGTTGTCACTGTGGCACGCGCCAGAAGTGATCGGCCCGATTCAGGGCTTCGAGAGTTTGAGCCTTGACAGCTTCTGGGACCTTGTCGCGGTCGGCCTCGTTCACTTGCCGGTACCGCCCCTGGGTGAGGTCCTTCTTTGCCCTGTATCACTTCTGCATCTTTGTACTGACCTTTGTTGCCCCTACACCTGAACGAGCGCTACGGGAACCGCTACGTGCTCGTGTTTTGCCTGTACCAGGCCTTTTTGCTAAAGCCCTTGGCGGCCAAGTTCTTTCTGCTCTTCTACCAGCACAGCCGGCCAAGCCATGGCCGAAGAGGAGAAGGGCACCGGGGCCTGGACCAGAGTCCCAACATGGGACGGCTCGCCGTTGACATGGCGAGCGTTCAGGCGTGAGATGAGCTGGTGGGTCTCTTCCTTGGACCTGTCCAGTACAGCTCGCTACAACCTTGCTGCCCGTTGGCTTCTTCGACAACAGGGCATTGTGCGACAGCGCGGTGAGGAGTTTGACCCTTCGGAGCTGACCTACAAGCCGGCCGAGGTGGTTGTGGACCCGCAGACCGGCGAGGACGTGGAGCTGACCCCGGTCGACTACCTGGCCGGCCTGAACAAGTTGCTGGACGCCCTGGAATCCATCAACGGCCAGTCCACTTTGGACAAACGAGGAGAACTTCGACAGCAGTTCTACGTGGACTTGAAACGGAAGGCGGGCGAGCGCATGTCGGAGTTCTGCACCAGATTCAGAACCCTCACTGCTGACCTTCGTGCTGAAGGAGTTCTTCTACCAGATGGTGAACTGGGATGGTTCCTGAAGGAAAAGCTCGGGTTGGACCCGCTGAGGAAGCAGCTGTTGGAGACCGCGCTCCAGGGCAACGAGAATTACTCGGCCATTGAGCGCGAGGTGCTGCGGCTGTTCAAGGGCATCCACTTGAGGGACCCCCTGCATCGTCAATTTCCTCGCCCAAAGCTCACCATCAGGCGGGTGGCGGATCCTCCGGCAGTTCGGTGGCTACACCTATTTCGGCATCGGCGTCTACGGCACCTTCGTCGCGCGCTTCGTGGTCTTCGTCGGCGCAACAGCGCCCTGGCTTTCGCCGCGGTTTTGGCGGCGGGAGCATGCGACAGGCCAATGTCGCTGAGGTTGCCGAGGAGGAGGAGCTGGACGAGGAGCCGGACGGTGAGGACAATGGTGCCGGCCCAGATGTGGCCGGTAGTCTTGAAGACACGATCAAAACCGAGGCGGAAGTCTTGGCCACTGAGCTGGAGGCCGCTGAGGAGGAAGGCGTCGACCCGGAGTTATTGGATAGCGTTGAAGCCGGCTTCGAGCAGGCCGCCGAGACACTGGTCACCATGCGGGAGGCCAGGACCAGGCTTGCCGAGGTCCGCAAGGACCGTGGATATGGCCGTGCTCAAGATCCTGGTGGCCGGAAACCCCCAGCCACTGCTCAGGTGGCCACGCGGAAAGCCTCTGGGAAGCACCCCTGCTTTGATTACGGGCAGAGCGGCCATTGGGCTGGGGACCCTGAATGCACTCGACCTGGTGCTGGCGCCGGCCGCAACACAGCCGCCAAGGGTGCCGGCAAGACCAAGCACGTTAAGCAGGTGAAGGTTGTGGAGAACCTGAACCCCGACCACCAGGTGCAGATCACCGAGCACACCCCGGTCCATGAAGTAGCTGTAGTTGACGTGATGAACCTTGAGCAAGCTTTGCAGAGCTCGAGTGAAAAGCAGTCGGTCACCCCCGGATTGCACGGTGACAAACAGCTGGTCGGTGCCCTGGACTCTGCGTGTAACCGAACATGTGCAGGCCCCCTCTGGTTGGAATCTTATTTGCAGCGGCTGCGCCAAAGCCCTGCGGAGATTCAGCAACTCGTTTGCAGCGAAGATGAATCCGAGATGTTTCGATTTGGCAATGGTGGCTGCGTCTCCAGCAGTAAGCGATGGCGCCTCCCCATTATGGTGGGATCTACATTGGCACTGCTTTGGGTTTCCATTGTGCCTGTCAGTTCTTTGGGCTGCTTGCTTGGGCGAGATTTGTTGGATGCCCTTGGGGCTGTGCTGGATTTTGCACGGCGTACATTGTGTTGCGAATATTTGAACGAGCGAGCAATTCGCCTTGAACAGATGTTGGCAGGCCATTTTCGGTTGAAGCTCCTCCCCAATTTTTGGCCAGCGCCTTGTCATGAACGTTGGCGTCGAGTTGGACTTGATGGAGTGTTGGAGGTTCAGATTGGACGGCAGGAATGGCTAAGGCGAAGGGTATCCATGCAGGACTCTCTTCAAGGTCACAGACATGAACATTTGTTGACTGAGCATGGCCTTCGCGCAGCGGTGTTTTCATCTACACCGCCGGAACCTTCGGCTCATGTTCCTAGCCAACCAGCCTGCAATTCCTCCCGCTGCATGTTGGAGACCAACCGGCATGCTCACACCGGCCGCGGACCTCGTGACCTTGGTCGCTCAGCGATGGCATCGACTTTGCCTACGCATCAGCGCCCGAGCTCTATGGCACGTTCGCGGCATCCTTTTATGGCTCGTGCAAAGGCCATACTTGCGCTGGCTGCCCTTTCCCTATCCGTCGGTAGCGTCCACCAGCCAGTGGCGCTTGCAGGCGGAGTCTATGATCAGCCAGAAGACTTGGCCTCGGCGTCACCATCAACGAGGGCAGGATCGTTTCACGGCCATGAACCTCAAGGACTGTTATCATCTGCGCGACCGGATGGGCTACAAGTCCGCCTTCGTGGAGGACTCGGCTCTGATGGGCATGTTGGCAGCTCGTGCGCTTCGTGGCCAAGCCTCGCTGATCAAGAAGAACGCAATGGAGGAGCATCAGGCCGAGGCTCGAGCCCTGCTCGCCCAGGCCCAGCAGATGGAAGCGGTGCGCTCCATGATTGGACCTCGGGGCGGGCTACCTTCACTCAAGAGCGACCTCGTGCGCCTCGCCACCTTGTTGCACCTGGCCGTGGACAGCAAGGACACGGTGGAGTCCCTCAAGAGCAAGATCCGTGGCCCTCTGGCCACCATCATGGAAACTTACAAGGCGGGGAAGGCCCCCGCATCAAGCCCCTCAGCAGTCAAGGTTGTGAGCGAGAAGCCTTCGTCGTCGCTGGCGGCCGCACCCACACCGTCATCTCCCGCGGTCATGAATGTCGAGGAGATCGAGTCCAAGGTGGTGGACATGATGGCCAGGCAGGAGGAGCGGTTTCAGACCATGCTGACGCAGGTTTATCAGCACGTCCTCCTGCTGCAGAACAATCAGCAGGTGCCTGGAATGGCGGCCGCGATGGGACCAACTCCTGGATGGAGATGAACGTGCAGGACCAGGAGATGATTCCTCACCTGCCCAACCAGTGACCTCATGGAAACTCGATGGCAAGCCGAAGATCAAGAAGGGCGTGCGACAAATGATCTCCCAAGCCTGGGAGCGCCATCGACGAGATCAGTTGGCGGTGTCTGCGGTTGGCGGAGGTCATGGAGACTATGTGGTCAGCTGAGATGGAATCC